TATAAACCAATTATAATTAAGTTGCTTAAACAACTATAAACAAAACAGCATCATGTATGTATGCATAATTAATACAAAGGGCGGAAAACCAATCACACAGAGTACATTTTTCATTTAAAAACATGAGATGCAGTGGGATGGGGAAAAACCCGCCATAAAGTCTCGATATATGTTTTTTTTTTCAAAGTTAAACTTGCATTAATTTTACATGGCTTTCTAAACATGCGGCTCTTTTGTGCGAGACGCGAGTGCAACAGTAATAGATGTCTGTCTAGAAAATGCGTGAAATATGCGTTCTGTGTGAATGGCTTGGTTTCGGTTTTGATGTAAACAAGATCTTCTCCGCATTGATGTTCTCTTTTTCCGCTATATATTTAATGAACAACGCAGCAGAGCCGCATCTAGTGGGTTCAACTGGTTAGGCTGACAAAAACATTATAATGCAATGACACCTACATCGTCATCGCATCTCGTGCGCCGCTGATAAGGCCGCCTCCTTAACGCACACCTAAAAGTCGAATGCAACGTTTTTGCTTTCGAATGTGGATTTTTATTTTAAATTCGACGAATATTCGAAATTCGAAAAAAAATTTGACAGCCCTAGTACAAGTGGAGCAGCATTTACTGCAAACAGGGCTGTTCCAAGACACTGAAAACATTGGATCATGAGCTGCTTGCATGTAAACAAACACTTACTTAATTAAATCGCAGCCTTTGCAATTTGATAACCATACTAACCCATTGCAATTTCGGTTAATCATGCAGCCATAGTACATACAAGTATCTAAAAAGTACATATTAGTACTAATATGCACCCTTTGAGGATTCTGCCTCAGTGACAGTGCAGATTGCACATTTTTGCCTCTGTTCATCAGCTCAGTGTTTACAGTATTTGTTTACAATATCGAATAGTAGGGCTGTGCAATATATCGAAATTATCGAAATATTGCAAATGTACATATCGCAATGGCTTGCAATATTTGGGGCCATGAACAAAAGACAAAGAGAAAATCACTCACTGCTCTTACCTAAATAACTTTTCAGTGCATATTGAATTCATAGAGTAAATACTAAGCAGTGTTGTATTTTTCCTTTTTATTATTCAGTTCCTAAACTCATGTTAAAATGACATTTTTATGTAATGCTAGGGTAAAACACTACCGTTCACTTTCAGAAGTTGTTGTAGGGGTGCTTTCTTCTCACAAAAAGTGAAACATGTATGCTAGTTATATTAGAATCAGAATCAGAATTAGCTTTATTCACCACTTAAGTGTGCGCAAACACAAGGAATTTGTTGTGGTTTTACAGGAGCTCTTGATACATACATACATACAAATAACCATATATATATATGACACAAGATAGTTATAGAAGTTCACAGAACTGACTCAGCAACAGCTGAGTAAAACGGTTTCATCTGAGCATGTGGCACTTTAAGCATTATCGTATCGCATATCGAATATCGCATTATTTAATGAGTTACCGCATATCGCATTTTTCTTCAATATTGCACAGCCCTATCGAATAGTGTTTACAATATCTACTGGTGGCAATGTTTTGATTCCCATTTGAATGCGGTGTAACTATTTTGCGTATGTAGATGCAAATATTCAAGTCTGCGTACTGACCAGAGCTGAGCAGCTTCCTCATGCGCAGATAGCTGATGGTCAGCCTCATGATGGAGGCTTTGTCCAGGTGGGAGGTGACATTGTGTGGCAGGGGGAGTTTTTGTGCTAACTCGTAGAACACCTCGGACTCCTTTCCCCTGCGAGATCGCGCTGCATCCCTGGACTTCTCCTTCCTGCGCTCCGAGCTCACCCTGAAAAGACAAGGAAGGACAGTGTTTTGTTACTTTGTCTTGGTGTTTGACAAGAGAGACCTCCTGCGCTAGCGCTTGAGGGCAGCAGCAAGGTCAACTTATTTTAAATCTCTCATTTGAATGGCGCCAAAACTTGCAACGTCAGAGGCCAGAAAGATAGTTTCAATCTGACTGGCTGGTAAAAGGGGTGTGGACATGCTGTGACAGACACAGATACAACCCTTGGAACCCAGCCAACGGTGATAAATGTTGTGGTGTCAGACAGTTTTCAGATTTCCCAACATAAACTTTTCAGCACACCACAAGGAACAAATGTTTGCACACAAACAAGCCATAAAGTAACTGGTCTTACAAGCAAGCAAGGTCAGGATCTGGACAATAAACAGCTCTTGGCCAGAAAAGAACCTCTTTCCTGACAAATAGGTCATCATGAAAAAGCTTTTTGCTAAAATGAGTCTCTATCTCATCATAATTTCTAAAGCAGCCTATCTATTACCCTTGGGACCTCTGCCTATTCTGTCACTGCCAAGACCAACTCCCACACATTTAACAAATGTTTCAGTTCACTGCAATAATGGAGGTCTCTGAAAACAAGCAAAGTTACTGGCAACAAAGAGCAACAAAGTAATGCACAATCTGTAACAAAAGCCACCACCTTCAGCCAGGTGATCATTCACGGTTTACCGATGTAGAAAAATGTTCATTGTTAACAAAAGCTGACACCTCAGGCAAATGGATTAAAATGCTGATAAACTTGTCTTTTCTTAATTCTAGGATTTCACAGAAAACTATCTCGAAGTGGCTTTAAGCAGAAAGTTAAAAACCTCAGATATCCTCAGAAGCTAATTCAACAAAAACCCACATCTTTTATCTGTTTATCAGGTCAGCTGACAAAAGAGGTTAAGCCTCAAACAAGCTTGAAACTAGATATGGAAACATCATTAAGGAACTGGATTTAACCAATGTTTGCAATAACAGCACAAACATGTCATTGTCTGAAAAACAGCAGACAGTGTGGAATGAGTCAATGGTGTTCTTCTGTTTAATTCGATCAGAAGCATCTGAGAATTAATGTTGCATTGGACAGTTACATTGCAACAATATAAAATTTCCTAATACATTGTGAGCAGCCGGGGGTCAAGATCCATCAGAGCTTCATTGTAGTGTTAGTTCATCTGCATGTATTGTCATCAACAGAGGCAAAATAACTCCTTTCCATTTTCAATTATAAACCATTAATGGCCAAGCAACAAATTACACAGTCTGAACACCACTCGTCTCAAACCATTTATACAGTTAACAACTCCCTATGAAATATAATGCTTTCACTGCATAGGAACTTTGCTGCTTTTCTCAAAGTTAAAACTGTGCCATTTTTCTGGCATGCATACAACTATAATGTCATCTGGTTGATATTTTATTTCTCTTTACTTTATTTACATATGTGGCCTTGAGGTGATATAAAAGTTATAAAAAGCAGTCAGATTGCCGTAAAAATACCGTAAAAATTAAAACGTTATGGTACCAGGTTTTTTTAAGTACCGGTGGTACCGAGTACCCGGTCAACCCGGTTCTTGATGCGCTATCCGAAAGGTGCGCAGATGCGCTCTCTTCATAAAAGCACTGAGACATGGCGACCTCAAAATGAAGAAACACATCAAACTAACAAAACACTTTAAAGACAGACACCCAGATCAAATGAAAGAGTTCAAGCTGGTAAGTTTCATTTAATTTTTTTATATTTAGATCAGTGTTTCCCATACATTGATTTATTTGTGGCAGCCCGCCACGTTTTAGGTAGGTGTGGCTGACTCTGAACTTTTATAAAGAATATCTCTTTGGATTTGAGACTTTAGTCTTTGCAACTTTACAGATCTTCTTTATGCACCAAGAGCTTGTAACACTCCAGAGAGAAAGGAAAAATTGAAATCGCATCATATGACCCCTTTAAATTTTTAATATTTAGATCAGTGTTTCCCATACATTGATTTAATTGTGGCGCCCTCCACAATGTCAAAACTGACCGCCACAAATAGATTTTCCAAAAGGCTTTGACTTCGTTGAATAAACATGAGCACTGCACGTGTCAAAGTCGAAACCTGGTGTTATTTTCATTAAAAGCCCTTTAAAATTAAATATGTACACAGTTTGGATTAAATGAAAGTATACCGAATACTGAAATTTTGGTACTGTGACAACACTATTTTGCCATTTATAATTTAAATGACCAATGAGATCGCCATGCAACTTGTAACAAATCTATATATTCCCCATCTAGGAGCTCCAAGGTCAAAGCAGCAACGAGAAACAATGAGTAACCATTGTGTCAACTGTCAAAGCCACGCAACACAAAGAAGGGAAAACGGTTAAGACAGCCTAGTGCCCTAGCAGGAAAAAACAGCATCTTCAGACAGACGGCGTCCTAACTGCTCCCATCCTCCCTATCAAAGTATTTTCTGAAGCAAAGCGGAAATCATTTGGCCAGAAAGAGAGGAAAACCCTTGTGCACAGGGGATGTTAACACACATGCATTTCATTGTGGTTTTCAGCCTGCTTGTGTCTGTGCGTGCCAGTACATTGTCATCTTATGTAAGCTCCATATATGGACTGCTCAATAATATATGTCTACATTATTGACTCTATTCAGGGTAGCTGGAAGGCCCCTTTAGCAAAAGGGAACTTTTTACTCAAATGCAAATGCTTAAGTATGAGGTTGCATTGTATGGTTATAAAATGCAATGAGAAGAGAAAATACAAGAGCTTTCTTTGAAGTGGATATGCCTCATCATGATAACAAAATGGCTAATAAAGTAAGCTGATAACCTTACCAAGACGTCATGTTATGATTTTTTTTTCTGTTATGCAAATCCAATTTGCTGTATTCTCTCGGTCCATTTGCCAAAGCAATCACCAGCTTCTCATGTCTACATTCACTGGCATTACTTAATTACCTATTTGATTTTAATTATTCAACTTTGTGATATAATAATCCATGCCTGTCCATTTCGAACCAATTTCTAGTAATAGATAGCAAGGCTGGGCAGTAGGGATTGTCAACTACACTGTAAAAAAAAATATTTTTCAAAGATGTAAATAAAACAAAGATCGCTGGAGTATGTTTTACAAGAAAATACTATTCCAGTCTTTCTACTTCAAAATTTTATGTTTAATTAAAAGTGTTACTTGCAATTTTTTTGTAATTATTGAAATTTGCCAGCAATGTCTAAGTGAAAATTATTTCATAAAAAAATTTCAGTGCATGTCTATAGTGAATTTGTGAGGTCATTCATCTACATTCATTCTTATTAGGGCTGGGCGATTTTCCAGATTTTATCGATTAATTCAAATTTATTGTTTTGCCACGATTAAATTTTTTAGAAATCGAGGAATTGCGATTTTGAATAGAAATATTACCAAATGTTAGAATTAGACATTTTGACAATATGCTGGTGATAACAGTAAAGAGAAAAGAACGATCAAACCACATGTCGGCGCACGTGATAAACCGCTCACGTGTGACATGCTCTGTGAAGGACCATAAATATAGCGCTAAGCACCATTCACACAGAATGCGCTTTTGTGTTGACAATGATGGAATAGAGGCAGTGGAATAGGTAAAACATGCAAGAAGATGGGAGTGAACTACTTTTAACTTGAGCGCAGTGTTTTTAGAATGGCGTTTCATGCATGAGACACTGCAAGAGTCGCGAGTGCAACAGTCAAAAACACATCCATGTTTACACAGAAAAAACAATGGAAAAGCAGCGCAATCGAATAAAAAAACCTGTAAAGAACTACTACTGTATGTCTGATATTTCATGTTTGCATCATGGTATCTCAGCCAAATATTGTCCTATCCTAACAAACCATCAATGGAAAGCTTATTTATTTGGCTTTCAGATGATGTATAAATCTCAATTTCAAAATATTTACCCTTATGACTGGTTTTGTGGTCCAGGGTCACATTTATAGTTAATAATAGTCTACTGGTGTTATATCTTCAGTCATTTTGAATTTGAATTACCTTGACTTTTGAAAAATTTTTAAAGCATTTTCCTCTTATTGTTTCTGAACACATAATATGCATAAGACAAGTTTGTACAATATGTAGTTGTAGTTTATGCATCTTTTCTACAAAGATATTTAACAAGTGATTTGTTTAACATTTACATTATGTTGACAACTTCATGTGTGCTGCACTTGGAATAGAATTTTCTTTAACTAGAGGGTTAATAAAGAAAAAGTTACTTGAATCATGTTGTAGTTACATTTTCAAGTTGCCTAGTTAAAAATCGTAAAAAAATCGAGAATCTGTCAAACATTCTGGAAAAATCGAGATCGCCCAAATCGCCCTAATTCTTATATAGATATGTTAGTGACATTTATAGTGGTGGTGCATTTCATTTTTTTTTATTATTTTTCTCCTGCTGTTTTTGAACATCTCACCACAAATGTTGCATTTAGGACAGCATCACAAGTTACAAAATAGAAAAAAAACTTTTTAAAACACTTTGGTTCTGTTCCAATCTGTTACACGTAAATGCAAGAATGAATTTAACACAAACATAAATGCATCCGATTGGGTTGAGGTGAAGCCAAAAAGCAAACCCCTGACTATTCGATATGAAAGATATATAGTTTTGCATGCGCTGACTGCTCGATATGCATATATGATAAACATTGTGCAAAGGCAAAATGTAGCGAAGTCTCTAATGCTTGACATTTATATCAAAGTTAATACATTTGCACATTATTTACACTAAGAATATAAAATATTTTTCCAGCTAATTTCGAGAATAATTACAGTCAAACATTATGATATACTGCTATATTGGTTATTCAGAAGTACTCACGCCATGATGTAAGATTTGTCATACCGCCTAATCCGTCCACCTAGGAAGGCTTTAAATTGAGCTCCTAAAAATTAACTGGTTGAATATTTTTAACTACATAATAATGATAACTAAAATCGACACAGGTCTAAAAGTTGGCCTGTTTTACAACATGATTACCAATATAGGCCTAATTGGATTCATATAGATCACATGCAAAACCTTGAAACACAATGACAGAATCGATAAACCTCCTTTTGACCCAAGGCTTATGAAAACACCTCTAAAGAGGAAAACATAACAAGAGGGCCACATTTCAACATTCAAACTGATAGAGGTCTTGCCACAAGACTGGGCAGGAAGTTGCTTTGACGTCAATGGTTAGAGTGATTAAGATTTGAGAGAAGAGATGCAAAAAGCATGTAGCAGCTTGAACTTGGATGCCAACCAAAATAATGTCAGAGGAAAATATTGCCACTGAAAACAATGTATTACTCACGTTAAACAGGGTATAAACTAAAGACCTATCACACAGTATTCTTATAAAAAAATTAGATTATCTTCAAAATCTAGGTATGATTTTTATGGTCGAGGGTCAAACTGACCTTGGATTCAATTCAACCAAAGAACACACTATTAAAAAAATCAGTTAAAACGGCAAACTTTTAACATTAATATTTATCATGCATTACAAGAAAGTGAACTTTCATTTGAACAACATTTTTTACATAAACAGTGATTATAATATAACATTTTTAAAAACATTTTAAACTTTAAAAGTATGGAAAAGTACTTCTGCATGTTTTCTTGAAGCTCAAACAGTAGAAATGAACAAGCAAAAACTAATAAAAATGTCCACTTTCAATGCAGTGTAAGTTTCTTTGGATAAAGGTGGCTGCCAAATGCATAAATGTAAATAACATCAGACAGTAGTTAAGAAACTATTAAATAAAACGTATCCAAAAAGTTTTTATTTTAGGTCTGTGTAGCTGGTTCTTGTATTTTAATGAAATACGACAGGCAAACTGACCTGCAAACATCGTAATTGTAATATAAATTTTTCTATTACACTTTGCATGCATGTTCACAACCCCGAAAGAGAACTCACAAATTTTCAAGAAAAACATGATAGGTTAAACCAGCAACTCCAAAAACTAAATGTGCCAAATTGACCTGTAACTTGCATATAGGCCTAAATGGTGACACACTGGATCTTAGGTTATCTACAATGCCAGTGCCATCCTTCTTGTAAATTCACTAGTACCGAAAAACCAAGCAACATTTTCCAGTCTTAGCAATACCAACACTTATTTCCATCTCATCTCATCTGAGCCCACACTGATGACAGGCCTGAAAAAGAATAAGACACTGTCAGCAAAATCCAAGGACGAATTCTTGCTTCCAGTCCTTTATCCACAAATATGCCAGACTGGCTGGCTGAACAAGGGCAACGAGTTAATGTAAATTGTGGGGTCAAGTGGTCTGAGGGGTATAGAAGGGACCCATCATATGACTAGCTCATGGCTCTCTTATCTTAGAAAATAAACTGCATAAAACATTCAGAAATGAATACAGTACAAAATACCAGAATACAAAGTACACAATTAGTATCCACTGAGCAACGATTATGCCATTTACTTTCTCCTCTATTGTAATAGACGTGCAGCTATCTGATTATTACACTATTTGGAAAAAAGCATGTATTTTATTTTTAATAGAAGCATTTGACATTCATGCTTAAATATGTATGTGCCTATATAAACAACGTGTTTACCCATTCTCATGAGAACTGAATTATGTCTATACTATTATAAACGGTTTATAACCGTTTAAGCAATAAATCAGGGGAAGTTTAAGTGAGCATGCCGCTAGTTTTGTTAGCTTCCTTCCACAGACAGACACTAGACACTCGGTTACCTCAAAAAACACAAATAATGCGTTACAAAGCAAAAAAATATGAGTCTTTAAATGGTTTAGAATGACATTTAATGGTGGTTTAGAGATAAATAGCAGGTATGCGCGCTTTAAACTTGCTCTTAGTTGTTTGGTTAGCCATCCAGCACAAAATGGCGACACGTTCTGTGTGACGGGGGAGGAATATCTTTTGGCCTGTTTACTATACTAAACACAACAAATACCGCTCAGCAGACCACCTTCTTTGACAGAGACACGGGGATCCCTACCTTTTCTTTTCAGTGACAACTCCAGTATCCATTCCTGGGTGAAACCACTCAGAATGTGTTAGGTTTTTCCAAGCCGCGAGGCCAGAAAAATCAAGGACGTGGCCACCTCTCGCTAACAAATAAAAATGTGTTTACGAAAGAAAACGAGCAGACGCTGTAAAACGATCCGATACTAGTCCGGTGTGGTGTGTTGAAAACGTCTGAATGGTAGAGATCAAGCCTCCGGTTCGCTGAAGGTCAAATCATTTGTCCGGCACCGGTCGGTGCAGCTTCTAGTCGGTACGAAGAGTTACCCGTGTCTGCGCTACACTACTCTACTCTCTCTGTGGCCCGCGCGCTCACGAGGCGCTGACGGGAGCGAGCACAGTCATATGAAAACAGACAGCGGTGTCGCACTCAAAAAAAGACATTCACTGAACCGATGGGACATCATCAGTCCAAACAGCACGGTGTGATGTAACCAGCACTATCGATCTCACCACAGATGCAGTAAATTCAAATTACTTGCTTGTCCCACAACCATGTAAGTTTTTTTTCTTTCTCATCCAGTGAATACTGTGTACTGTTTATAACCAATAATTGGTGTTAAAATATAGTCTAATCTTTAATTATTGTTATTATTTAAATTATAATAAGGATTAGGTAATGGAGGACAATTATTTTACAAAATAATTACACCAGCCACCTTGTCAAACAAGAGCAACTCCTAACCAGCAAGAAGACCTTTAGCATTTACTAGCAACCTTCCAGAACACCCTAGAATCAACCAGCAACCAGGCAGAACACCCAACACCCTAGCAGCTAGCCAGAGCACCTTAACAGCCGGTGAAAATAACCTAGCAACTCGCCAAACCCCATACCAACCATCAAACAACCCTATTTGTTTAACCACATCCAGGTAACCAACCAGCACACTGCAACCACCAAGCAATGTCCAGATAATCTATCTGCTGACTATACAGTTTGTAAAAATTTAGCACTTTAAAATGACCTATTTAAATAGTGAGATCAGACTCTTGTCAGGCCAACATCAAAAACTGTCTCAATAAACCTTACTTACCTAGTCAAGTTGGCAATAGTTGAGACAGGTTGCATTCCCTCAATTCATGAAAACAGCATTTACATTTTTTAAAAATCACTTTCAGAAATTTTTTTTCAAGCTTACAAACTATAAATGCATGGAACAGCTTGAGCATTTAAAGTGGCAGTCGCATATAGAGCGCACTTATTTAAAAAAACAGAACGTTATTGTATTGGTGTGGGTGCTATATATGTATATATGTATCACTACAGTTGTAACTTATATGTCATTTATTCATTCTGAAACGGATTTTTGATAGTGTTCATAGGCATTATTTAATAAATAAATGCTGTTTCCAGTGAAGGAATGCAAACTGCCTCAACTCAAACTAAACCAAAAGTAAGGTTTTTGATGTTTTGATGCTGTACAGTCAGACAGATTAGCAGGCCGTTGCTAGGTGGTTGCAAGAGTGTTCTGGTTGTTTATCAGGATGTGGTTAAACAAATAGTTATTGGTCATAGTGGGCCTTAACTTTGGCCAATTTTATGGTTGTATAGAGAAGTGGCTGGTGTTGCTGACAAAATTTTCAGCAGAATTTCAGCAGTTTCCTCAAATGTGTTGGTTTTCTGTTTCTTCCTGCTGGTACGACCTCATTTGCACTTTAGATATTTCCTTTCAGCACCACCAACCTAAATTATATATTCAGGTTCCAATAGTTATTTCTAAGTAGTTATTTATATACATATGTAAATGCACATATTTAATCCAAAATTCAGTCAAATTCTCTTCAAGATAAAATTGCTCCAGTATTCCATGAAAATGACTGTAAGTTGTAAGCTGTTGTTTATAAGCAGTGTGCCAATGGATACAGCATCATTAGGGTTAACTGTCAGATGCAGCCAAGGCCATATTTATGGTTTCTACTGATGTGGAGGACGAGGCAGTGATTGTCATTGACTCATGGTGATCACTGACAGACATAACTGTAATAGATGGACAAGGTTGAAACTAATGAAACTGAAGTGATTTAGTGGAAAGCACATGACTGGAAACAAATAGTTAATATCCATGGAGAAGTTCTATGAAAATAAAATCGGACTGATGAAACTAACAGCAAGCAAAAGATTGAAAACAGTTCTTCACTGTCAGCCAGTTGACTTAGAAGTTTAAGGAAAAATAGACTTGCACAATTCTATGGTGTCATACACGAGTCTTACTGTATAAAGAATGATACATGTTCTTAATCCAGATATGAAAGGGAAGATTTGAGCTTTTATGTCAGTTTGCTGATGTTGATGGTTGTATTTTGCCGTTGTAAAGAGTTTCTGTCTTCCCGCACCTGACAGCTTTGATCAAACCTTCAGGTAAAGGAGTTGCTTTAGTGGGTGTTAAACCCTTTCACCTGTCAAAGTGGGTTGTGAAGGGCTTTAAGGCTCTAAAAATAAGCAGTTGCTTTCTCTCTGCCATTCAGGAAAGATTAGAAGAATTACCAGGTTGCTGCTGGGAATGCTTCAGCAAAAGCAATCAGCTGCAAAATAACACAGTAAACACTGTGTTCCCAGTAACGTCATCTCTTGTAGCATGAAGCCCAAGGCCCAAATTACAGACTATCAGAATCTGAGTCAAATATGGCAAGGGAGGAAACTGAGGAAATAATGAAAGATAAAATGCCATATATGAACCATACTGCTCCAGTTCTAAAAATATCATCAGTATGTCCATCTCTGAGATCAAGCTAATCAAAAATAATAATTTCTTTTCCAGTTGGGACTGAAGAGTCAACAGCTGATATCATGCATCATCAGGAGTGTTTTTCCGCAGAGCAGGACATCTGCTAATTTCAACTCCAAACTCACATGTTCCCAACAAGCCAGTGGGACCAAAATGTTTGTTTTTAATAGTTAATTGTGTGACCATTATTTCTGATGGTGGAAAAGTGAACAGCCAAACTCTACTGGAACACTGTAGGATACAGAAAAGCCCCTGAATAGAATTAGCAGAGACTCAGAAACACTTCAATTCCAGTAAGAGCTTACTCTGCTTGCCAAGACCATTATTTCTGAACCGCTAAAATAAATGCAATACATTTGGCACATTTTGGAGGAACCCAATGAACTTCTCAGCAGTGCTGACTCAATGAATGGTTTGAGTCATGAAGACACCTCCCAACCAGACATGGCTGGTTTTTGGCAGTTTAACACCACAAGCCTAACTGGAAAAATCACCAGAGCACCTGACTGCAAGTCAAAACTTTTCACACACCATCATCACTGAGAATTCAGAATGGAGAGTATTTCATCATATCACCTGCATGGAACTGCTTCTGGAAACAATATCAAAATATTCTCTAACAGTGAGAAACGTACAGTGGAACTTACAAGTGAAACGGGCCAATCCGTAAATGTTAAAATACTCACTATGTCACAAGTATAGCCACAAAAAGTAAACAATATGCATGCTAACATGATTTTAGTGTTAAGAAATAATCTTTTCTATGTGAAGTTGTTTTTAGTTCAATTTTACAACTTTGTTGTCATGACAAAGTAATGTCAAAATACTAAAAAGATCATAAAAACAGCTTTTCAGCTCAAATAATACACAAGTTCTAAAAGAGGAATTAACATGCTTTTATAAAATTATGAGTAAATGTTATTTTATGTGCCTCAGAGAAATGTTTCTTTCTGTTTTAAGAAAATGAGTAGAAAGCATTTTTTTCTGGTATTATGCCTCAAATTCTGTCGATTGATCCTAACCTGTATTAAACCCGCAATAGTCCCTGAATCAGGTGTAAGTATATTTAACTAATACCAAAAATAAATTGCTTGACAATAAATAAGCAGATCATTCTTCGTCATCTCTAAAACAGCTTTGTCATTATTTATCTCACTATCACTGCTATTGTCTGCCAGAAAAATGCCAACGAAAATGTGTCAGCCACCGAGTTTCCAGTTACAACTGGTTTGGGGCAAGCGCGTAAAAACCTTTGTTGGGTAATGCCACTTTTCAAACAAGAGAATGCTTGAATAGAAAACAATAATCACTACAGCCAAATTTCCAGACATGTAATTCAAGCACAAAACAAATCAATAGAAATGAAAAAAGAATGGGGTCTTCAGTCCAGTTGTATAAGCTACTTCGTAGAACAGACCTCAAGTTTAATATTTTATGCTCATAAAAGCGTCTTAACCCCATTAACAGTGTGCAGCATTAGTTGATGGTGTATTATCAGTGTATAAAGGCTGCTTCAAATACTGGGTAAGCTCGTGAGAACAACAAATGAATCAAGGGTAATACATTATTCAAGGAGGATTTCCACGTCTACAGAGAAATGTGACATGACCGCAGCTCTGTTTGTCCTTTGAGGTGTAAAGGATATGTTTTTTTGTTTTTCTCATGAAAGTTTCATGTTTCTATCTCACGCCATGAGTCCCCTGATTCATTATTCAATGAACTGGACAGGTGATATGTGTTGTCACATGTGCTTTAGGTAAACCAAAATTGTCTCTTATAGCCTGTTACAAAAGGATTTTCCAAGTTCATAATTTAGACTTTAGTTAGAATTACTTTACAATACATCACATAACTTTCAGGAGATCATTATTTTCTTCCTGTCATTGCCTTTACAAATAATCCTTTGGTCTGGATGGTCCAGTGGAGTATATTGTATTGCCTTCTAGTTTGAATCATGTCCAAATTCTTGTCAGACTTGGCAAAAAGTTTGTCAACAGAATGTATCACAACAAGTTCGCTAGAAGGAGTTAATTAGGGAAAGTAACATATAATCTATGTAAGTAAAATAAATAAACCACAGCTGATGTTAGTGCAGTCGCAGCTCTGGAGCTGTGTAGGTGAAGTCTTTAAAATCGTCCTGGTGGAAAGAAAAAAGACTGTCCTCAATAGGTGTAAGACAGGGTTCCTCTTGAGTGAAGTCAGGGTCAAAATTGTTCACATCTTCAATAGAATCCTACAAAGCAAAACAAAACAAAACATTATTTTTGACCAATATTCACACTTATCCAATTAATCAGTTATCAGTTCTTTTATGTTTATCAGTGTACTGATAAATGCCACCATTTGGTGGATCTATAAAGAATATAATTCAACAACAGTATTTCAAAGTACATTTATTTATTTATTTACTTAATTTTGTTTTCTATTTATTTATTATATCATTTATTTAACAGTGTTTACAAACACATACATATATATATATAAAATGAAATATATAAAATTGTAAAATGTTTGCATAAATACAATGGAATAACTAATAAAATTAACAACAACAACAACAACATTAATATTAATAATAAAAGATAACTTAGGCTATTATTATTAATAATATTAAACTAGTCGTAA